CGCGGGGGTGCGACCTCGTCGTCGCCAGGTCTCTGGTCGAGAACCACGTCACTCGCTACTGCGACAAGACCCTCGTCCCTTGCCCACACCCCTCCTGTGACAAGCTAGTAGCCCGCAAGGATTCCATCAAGGGATGCCTACATTACGATGCCAAGTGTGAATACTGTGACCACATGTACGAGAAGGCCGATCTAGAGGAGCACCAAGACAAGAGATGCCCCAACAGAAAGAGGAAGTGTGAGCTGTGTGACGTGGAATATGTGCGTCACAAGCAAGATGAACATACTAAGGACTGTCCAGAGGCAGAGACACCCTGCAGCTTTGCCCCTTTCGGCTGTACCCGCCTGGCACAGCGGAAGAAGCTGGCAGAGCATGCACAGAGCTGCGAATATCGGGTTGTTGGCCCCATTGGAGAGCAGCTAGCCGAATTACGAGCAGAACTCGGAGTGCTCCGAGAGAAAGATCAGCTGAAGGAGCGACGGATCAAGTTCCTCGAAAACAAGGGCTTCTCGGTGCCCGTGGCTAGTACCACTGAGGCCATTGCCGATATCAGCTTGCCCGAGACCACGACAACTGCAGATCTAGCCCCTTACGAGTCCCGAGATCAGTATTTCCTATCGCTCTTCGAAACCATGGAATCAAAGGTAGAGCGACTCTCTTCGGCCCTGAACGAAGTCGAAGGTCGGCATTCCGTTATGCTCTTCAACGAGACTCTACCCATCAAAGACCAAATTACCGAGATTCGCAGTACGTTGGGTGTTCTCGGGATGCATGTGCGATGGCTGATGAACTTCCGGCTTCAAGAGCGCGGAAGGGTTGGAACTAACTCGCCCACCATTTCTGGCGCGCTTGCTGGGTCGCAAGACAGCGGTGCAGATTCGAACTTACCACCGCGACGCCTCAGCGACTACACGCGGGAACATCCACCTAGGCTATGAAATGCAAATATCGAATCGCAAGTGAAAACATGATAGGAAGAGATTCGGAGGTGTTAATAGGCAAGACTTCAGTACTTTATTGTATCTTATGTCTGCTATAGCACCAGTGGCTATAGAAATTGCACTAGTCTCTTGAAATGCAGCAGCAGAGCTCCTGGGCCATCTCATCCCTATCCCGAGTTGAATTTGCAGCCTGAAGGTTCCCGCCAACACAAGTACGACTCCGTCGGTGCCAAAGGCCAAGCTATTGGCTTATCTGGGAACACCGCCCAGTGGATGATTCAATGCTGTTCGGGGCGGCCATACGAGAAGAATACCGTTAAGGCCAGCTCGGCGTCAATATCTAACCTGGAAAAACTTGATTCTCAATACAGAGGCTGCGTACCACAAGCATTCGAATGCTTCTGACAATGCTTAGTCGGTGATTGTACGTACTTGATTCCAGGACACAGACTTGGCGAGAAACACCGAAACTGGCATCTTCACAAGAATGCTGCTTTGCACCCAAGACAGAGTAGGGCGAGGCTCACATTCCCATCATGGTTTGAATCAACAGGATAACGAGAGCTGCCACAACCGTGCAGGGAATGAGGGCAAAAAAGTACCAGAAGGCACTGATGACTGTTACCCAACTGGTGAGGTACATGACAAACCATCGGTCGAGAAAATGAAGGAATCTCATATTGTGATATATGAGAGGGAGAGCGTCGAGAACCCTGAGGGGAAGATCCATGTGACCAAAAACCAACTCATCGTCTTCCTCGTCCTCGTCATGTTCTTCGCCATCTTCTTCCGATTCATCATCTACTTCCCATTCGTTGTCATCTTCATCATCTTCTCCATTGTCGCTATCCTCGTCATCTTCTCTTTCAGCGTTGTTAGCGCCATCGTTGAAGATCATGGCCAGATAACAGATAATTATGAGGAAACAGATGATGTAAAGTATGCAACGAGTAATCTCGGCGAAGGCCAAGATGTAAGGCAACATGAGCAGGAGGACCTGCGTGAATTGTGACATGGTTCCTGTGGAGGCGGCCCGCCGGATGGCTTTGAAGGCTTGATCGTGCGAAAGGGGTGGTTTGTGCGAGAGGCCTTGACTGCATGAGTGGGGGTTTCAAAGCTGGTCTTAAAGAAGGTTTAGGGGGACGGACAGGAGGAACAGACGGAGCAGGAGAAAAAGAACGCAAGAGTCAGAGCGCGACGCAGTTCGCTCTGAAAGTCATCAGCACTGGTCATTAGCACACCCCAGTAAGGTGAAGCCTATTCGAGTATCAACGACATCATCTGCCCTTATCTTCTGCTGAGCTTTTGCAGGGCCAGTTCACACAAATCAACTCCACAATCATCAACGAAATGACTTACTCCATTGACACCCTAAAACGTATTCTTTCAGGCGTTGGTGATTTATGTGTGCATCCCATTAAGCTTTGGATCTCTAGGAAGTAGTCGCAAAATTAATAATTCAATATGAGAAACTACAAATTTGCAGAACACGGCGAAAGACTACACGCTGTGGTCTTCTTCTCTTAGGTACATTGGAGCAAATCAATCAGGGGGTCACTTTGAATCTTGGCCGTCCTTGCTATCAGTGTCCATGGGATCATCGCCCATGCTGTTGCTGTGAACGAGCGCGGTTTTTGTGGATGTTGAAAGCCTGCTACTGTTCAACATGGCACAGGGGTAGTTTAAGAATTCTAAAACCAGTTTTGGGAGAACACCTACTCATCCAAACCACTGGCGTCTATTTCCTACCAGGTTGAATGACCAAGACTTTCACCCAAACGAACGACATCATTGCGTCTGCTGACTGAGAGCCACGAGCTACACAAATGCCAACCATGAAATGCACTGCCAACACTAGAAAGCCATCATTACCGTCGCCAGGTGCCCCGTCAGTAATTCCTTATTGCTAAGGGATCGTTAGCCTGGAGCAGCTATTGGGTGGCGGTTGCCTAAAAAGTTCCTTAACTCGGCAAGCACATAATGATATAATGATTAACCCTAGGATGAGGAAGCGTCGGCTGCGAGGTGTCGTTCAGCCGCGATGCACGTCGGACGGTCTCTGAGAATGGATCGGAATTTGAAGAGCGTTTTGGCAATAGGGATCAGCCTCGTTGTCAGGACTAGCAAGAGCCTTCTAAATCTACCTGGAGTATTAATCACCAAATTTTTTAACTTACCTTATCTAGGAGAATAGTCTAGTTGCTCGGAGCAAGGCTTTTAATGACGCTCTGGTTGGTTTTTGGTGTAGTACTCACCTTAACAATACTGGCGTTCATAATTAGGCTCCACGGAGCTCGTTTTAGATATTTGTCTACAGTACAGACCAGATTCTAAGTGCATAGAATCAGCAAAGGTGTATGCTGTAACCTCCTTAGAGACAATCCTGCTGCGGTGTCCCACGTCCAACCTAAGCTTCTGTTGTGCGACTATTCACTTGGGTGCTCCTTTGCTTATTCTCTTCGCATCTGTACTTTCCTTATCAGGCTAGCATGGGGCTAGCATGGCGAATATCATTCGGAATTCTGCTATGAAAGGGCATACGGTGACCACCTTTTGGAGTGCAAAAGGGTGATGTTGCCTGGCTTACGACTTGATCACCAACTGAAGTGATGTTTCAACAGGCAGCCAAAGTTCAAGAATGATAGACTCCTGAGCATGATGTAGAACCAGGGGCTTCAGGCCTTTGTCTTAGAACCAGGTGGGTGATTCTGGCCACAAGTACCTCAGGCTCAGCCGAACCCCAGCCGAACCCAGACCAAAGAGTATTGACTACGACTCAAAGGTCTACCAGACCAATCACATAGCATGAGGAGAGAAAGGGAAAGCCAAATCTATGAGGAACTGTGTGCCTTTATATAGACCTCCGGATAGATCGCCGCAGCCTACAAGGATCGACGACAGCATTCAAGGAAACTCATCTGATGTTGTTCAAGAGCCTAATGGTAAGGATCTAACCACAAGAAGGGGAGATACAGTATATTTATGCGGCGGCTTAGTCGTTTGTGCCCATCTCTTTCCATGCAGAGATTTGTGACCAAATGTAGCAGATCTGTTAATCACAGAGAATAGTTCAAGTGATTGAAGGGTCTCTATCAGTTGAACCATGTGGCTCACATTGTGTCATAGAAAGAGTGACTCGAATCATTAATGAACGCACCACCATTCTTTAAAGTTGTCCACGTTATTCGGCGGCTTAGTCGTTTGCGTGCCGCATTTCCTGTACTGGAGGCCCGACTATGACATTGAATGTTTTAGAGCTCTCAATCGCAAGCACGGCTTCGGCGTCAGCTAGCCACTTTGTCGTCCATCCTATAAGGAATATATGCTAGAAGCTCACTGTATATAGCGAGGTTGAGTCAATGGAGCAGCTGGCCCACGATGCCAGCGACGGCCCTTTTAGGTTAAGCTGAAGGAGAGTGAAGGGCTCTGATGACGGCTTGGTATTTCCGCTAATTTTACAGAGAGGATGGGATGGATAAGATCAGAACGTTGAGTCACAACCAAAAGTCACATGTAATGTTATTGGTCATAGGACCATGATAATTGTTTTAAGCTCAATTCATGTTATTCGATTCTTTTCAGACATATACTCACTGCCGCCTCACTGCTAGCGCTGGAGTAAACATTGAATGTGACTTTAATGTGAAAGCTAACATCTTTATAGATGAACCAACATTATTCGCCAGCAGCGCTCTGTCACAGTGGGCGTTTTACAATAACACCTTCAGACTGAAGTTTTGCACGCTTGTAAACATGAATCTTCACTAAAAGCTTCATGCTGCGTTCTCTGGCGAGAGTGGTTGCAGTGGGTCAGGGCACGGGATTGGTTTCGTAAGAGCGCACGATGATAAGAAGAGCTAGGATCTTGACTGCGGCACTGTAGACTTAGGGCCGACTTTGAGTCCTTAAAGTCGACGCTGAGGTGCTGGCCGTTAATCACAATGCCGCGCTGGTATTGCGGCTTGTTAGAAACCCTGCTTTATGTAGCATTGTTAAAAAGGACTAACGCTATATTTAGAAGTTAGGCAGATTAATGCATAATAAATAAAAAAAAAAGATCTTTTAATCGAGGAATCGAACTTCGGCTATTTGCGCTTTATATATAATAAGCAGGTATTTTAACTATTAAACTAATTAAAATATATAAATTATATAAAAAATAAGTCCTTTTATATAACTATATATATAGCTAAAGTATATTCGGTTTCGGTCCGTATATAAAATTTAATATATAAAGAAAAGGTTTAGTTAAGTAGTAATAGAGGCAAAAAAATTTGTTAGTAAATAGGACTGCTAGGCGAAAGAAATAAGCATAAAATAAACCGTTCGAATATTAGTTTATTAAATTATTTATTAAACCCAAACCGCTATGTTTTACTTTTAATCCGTTGTAATAAATAACTAAAACTGTTTTAATATATTAAAAAAGGCTAAAATAAAGCTATTTAGCTTTTAACTTAATATTTATAATAAAACCAAAATAATTAACTATAATATTAGCCTTTATAAATCGCTGCAGATTTGCCTCCTGCTTATATATATTTTATTATGCTAAGCATTCCCTATTAATTTAAGTGATAATATGGTTAACGCTAAAATGCTGGCCGTTAATTATAATGCCGCGCTAGTATTACGGCTTATTAAAAACCCTGCTTTATATAGTATTATTAAAAAAGATTAACGCTATATTTAAAAATTAGGCAAATTAATGCATAATAAACAAAAAAAAAAAATCTTTCGATTAAGGAATCGAACTTTAACTACTTACGTTTTATATATAATAAGCAGGTATTTTAATTACTAAACTAATTAAAATATATAAATTATATAAAAAATAAGTCTTTTTATATAACTATATATATGGCTAAAGTATATTCGGTTTTAGTCCGTATATAAAATTTAATATATAAAGAAAAAGTTTAGTCGGGTAGTAATAAAGGCAAAAAAATTTATTAATAAGTAGGACTATTAAGCGAAAAAAATAAGTATAAAATAAACCGTTTAAGTATTAGTTTATTAAATTGTTTATTAAACCCGAGCCGCTACGCTTTATTTTTAATCCGTTATAATAAATAACTAAAACTGTTTTAATATACTAAAAAAAGCTAAAATAAAGCCATCTAGCTTTTAACTTAATATCTATAATAAAACCAAAATGATTAACTATAATATTAGCCTTTATAAATCGCTGTAAATTTGCCTCCTGCCTATATATATCTTATTATGCTAAGCATTCCCTATCAACTTAGGTGATAATATGTTCCTGGCTTCATCTTTTTTACATATAATGATTGACTTCGCAGGGCATTTTATAACGAGAGGAAAGCATCGCTTCACAGCGAGCTGGCCGTAAAGCGCCTCTGGGCTTACTTGGATCTACAAAGCATGGTCTCAAATAGCGCTTTTATATCCGCGTCTGTTCTCGGAGCTTCAAGTTTGATTGAAATTTCATCCCTAGATTGATGAATCGCATACAGAACTATCTTCCAGCGACTCATCGCTTTCTTGCACATCCAAACAGACTCTGGAGTTCTGTATCCAAGGCGAGGCGACAAACAGCTGCCAGATGGTCAGCTCCTTACAGAGCTTATGATTTGCAGGTAGCTCAGAGTCGACACCTGGTTCCTTCAAGAACAGCACTCGGAGATTGTTTGGAATGGACAAGACATGTCTCTGAGCTTGGGCTATACCAGGTACCTAATATCGTCAACAATGAAAATCTCTCAATTATGCCTTGTCAATGTCCAGACCTTTGCTTACATGTCTATCGAGAGTGTTGACACATAGTTCTGGAAAAGCTCGGACGGTTTGGAAATATTATAGACGGTTTCTTGTCGTTCATGGTTGGCAGAGGCAAGTTGAATAAGAGGTACCTGTAGACAGTACCATGATGTCAGTTGGTCGGGCATCGATCAAACGCTGGGCAAAACTCATGATAATGTACCTGAGGAAGCTCACATACGCATCTTACTTGGAGTATCATCTAAACATGGAGCATCGCTAAACAGTGCAGACCGCACAACTGTCACCATACAGTTATCCATGCCGATATGTTTTGATGACTCACCTTTTCTAGGCCAGCCTGGGCTCAGCCATCTCGTATAGTCTACTGCCGACATCCTACTCTGCGGCGTGACTCGTTAAATATACAGCGTAGACTAGTGTTATGCGCCTCGAATCCTCGAATCCTCGACCAAAAAGAGTCGGCGCCGAAAACCAGAGCTGACGGCTGTTCCTTGCCTGTTGAGCGAGCATCGAAGCAAAGTTTGAGAGGACCATATTACGACAATCTCAGTTGTGGTATTTTCTCGCCGATCTTGGTTTAATCTTTACATTGGGCAATGAGAATTATTAGACAGACTGATTCCATGCTGTTCCTTCAGTGTGTTTTCCTTCCCCCCAACTCCATTTTTTCCGCCAGCTCACCCAGTGCTCCTAGACTGGGCGTGAAGCTGGAAAGCAGTCCAGTGATTGCCATATTGTTTGCTTCGTCATCCCGTCTGCTGCCTTTTGCAGCAAAATACAAATTGAGGCGGACACTCTAATTACCATCGAGGTGGAAAAGACGAGTTCCGTCGAAATAATTTACATTGAACAGGGTATAATCCGGGACCCGCACGAAAGTTTGCGGTAAGTAATGTGGGAGGAAACTCCCATATAACGCCTTAATAAAACAAGGAGGAACGAAGGTGGCAAGACCTAAGGCCTCATGATGACCTGTGCCTTTATTTGAAGTCAGCAAATGAAGGGATCGCTTCCAATTAATAATAGCTGGAGAGAAGAGCAACTTACATTACACCTCTTAGAAGAAGGTCGGCTTAGTGAGTACGCGATACTCGACGTAATCCTCGCCATCAATCGTGAGGATGGAGCCCTGGCTCACGAGCTTTCCCTTCCAAGGTCCGTTTGACTTGCGCTCGTACTTGACTCCCATATGCAACTTGGTTTCTCCCATATGCACCTTCGTTTCCTCAACTCCAGGTCGGAAGCGATTCTGTTCCTGAGATGCCCACACCTTCTGCATTCGCTCACGGTCGTCCTGGAATCGCTGTCGTTGGATTTCGGCTTCGGCATTAGGGTTCGGGGCAGGCATTGGATATCGGTTCTGATTATGTCGGTCGTTCCGCATCTGAACAGCCTCCAATCGCGAAACTTCTCTTGTAGCCAAGGTCTGAACGCGCTCGACCGGGTCGATGCTAGCAGGGCGAGCCAAATGCGCGGGATCAGGAAGAGGATGACGGGAGCCTGGATCATTTCGGGGCAACACCTCCCGTACATCACGGCGGTTGTGTCGGAGTTCATGGCCACCAGCACTGGTGGGAGTATGCAATTGCTCGGGGGCATCGTCCCTCTCCATCATGGCAGCTGATCGTGATACCATACTCCCAGTGATGGGTTGCCCTCCTCTAGTCATACTGGCAACACGGGTCTGCGCTTCGTAGACTGCCTTGGTCTCGTTCGCAACCTTGTCGTCTTCTTTCTCACCGGCATCGATTTGACTTTGACGCACACGCACATATTCCTTCATCTCGGGGCGGCTGAGATGGTTGATGTGACGTAGGAAAAGTACTTCTTCGTACGGAATCCACAAAGCTCCAGCGCCGGCGGGGAAATTTCCATCCACATAGCGGCCATCCAATGTCTCACGAACCAGCTTCACTCGGAACATATCGTTGGCTCCCAGTATTCCGTAAACTGCGTGACGCTCACGCTCGTCCTCGACGTCCGACTTGGACCAGCACCCAACAAGGATACGGGTCGGCCGAGTACCAGGTAGAGAATCCAGCATGCCAGGGTAAGGGGGTTGTGTCGAAGGCGTGGGAACAGCTACAGCCTGATTCGGCGTAGGAGTAGGATGGGCGACGGGCAGCTGCTGAGACATATGGCTAGGAGTACGGTCCAGAATCGTACCTACTCCACTGCCGATTCGACGGCGTTTTGCTTCTTGTCGACCAACTTGTGCGTGCTCTGGAATATCCAGACCCCAGGCTATGGCGGGCGGCTGAGCCTGCTCGGGAGGCGGGGACTCTCGCACTCGACGACGAGCCTCGACAACAGCTGCCTGGTCCATATCGGGACGATTCTCAATCGTGTCGCTAGCCTGCGTCTCATAACGAAGCTTGACATACTCTTTGATCTCATTGTGATCCAGCCCAATCAGGTGATCGTTGAATACAATTCTCTCAAAAGTCACCCAACTACCCCCAGGACCGGGCGGGATAGGGAACAAACGAGCGTTAATCACTTCGGATGTGCGCGTAAGGTGTTGAATGCGAGTACGCAGTCGATCTCTGACGTCCATAAACCCGATGACACTATGCTTGCCGGCTGGGCTAGGCACCGGAGAATCGCGCCAATAGCCTAGGATGACGCCCTTTGTGTCGCGCTCACGAGCCGACATGGGCCGATGCACTACACTCTGGATACGTGGTGTGACTGTCTCAGGGACCTCTTCAGTCATGCTGGTGTCCATCTTGTCTTCGCCCAGGTCATTGTAAACGGTTGAGCGTTTGCGCTTCGGGTAATGGGGAACAACATCTTCATCCTCCCCGTCTTCGGAAACGACTCGGAGGGGCGACTGCTTGTCCCCATTGGAGTGGGTACCGACAATGATCTCGTCACCAAGCATGTCCGGGTTAACACTGGAGACTGAGCTCGAATCTCCAGGACTAAGGTCAGGGCGTTGATTGGCCTCTGCTTCTTCGTCTGTCTTGGCCGATTCGGTCAACGGACGGCTAGACTCGAAGTTAGTATGTGTACAAACAGGACATTTGTAGACATAGAGATCTATGCTTCGTGCAATCGGTGTATCCAGTGATAGCGCCGTGCGATGGGGTAAACTCCTTCCCACGCAGGGGATGGGGATAATTTTCCGCCAAGGCTGATATTGACAGTGGGCAATGCGCAATGCGTGCTTGCCAATCTATGGTGAACTGGGGATACTAATGAGACACTGACTTACAATCCAGTAGGTGAGATCCTCTCCTGCTTCTCACCATTAGTGGTCTCGACCACTGTCTTGTGGTCTTCGGCAGCTTTGTCGTCCATAGTGACCTTAGCTCAACTACCTTTTGGTCAATTAGTGCCAACGGGAATCCAGCGGCAGAAGGCAGGAGACAACGCGAATGTAGAAGGCAAAG